CTTTCGACCATTAAATCGTCGAGGTGATATTTTGAGCCACTGTTGGCCGATCTAAGGATAGTCAAGGGTCAGTTCGCCACTGTCACAGTAGTGGATCGCGGTTGATACCGCTGGACCACGAAATAAATTGACGAACGATCCTGAACCTATACCGAACGATCGTGCCCCACGGATCTAGTAATTGATCCTCGCGATTTTATTGACAGCCGAAGTCGCGACGGTCTGAATAAATTGCACGTGACTCGATTTAGTGTCAGTCACGGGTCGAATAAGCGAATTTCCCCAACAAGCCACCCGTTAGTTTGAGAAACGCTCGAGTTACGTTTAATAGAAATGAATTATTTAATTCAGCCCAAATTGGACACCGGAAAATTTGGAAGTCACAATGGGAAGTTAGGACGACGTTGCGGATGTAACGTGCAATTTTTGTTGTGCCCGAATCCTTCAAAAAAACTTGATTTTGATGAGAAACGGAGAATCGGACCATTTTACCCTTGAGATTTATCAAAGGGCATGTTTTAAAGGGCAAGGGTATTTTGGTAAATTACCAAAAAATGGTCAAAATTGGATATAAGCCCTTGACCCCCCCTTTCTCTCTCTCTCCTCTCTCTCTTCTTTCCCCCCCTCTCCCCGTGAAATCCCCTCTTTGCCGTGGGCCCCTCCCCCTCCACCGTATACTCTCTCTCTCTCTCTCTCTCTCTCTCTCTCTCTCTCTCTCTCTCTCTCTCTCTCTCTCTCTCTCTCTCTCTCTCTCTCTCTCTCTCTCTCTCTCTCTCTCTTTGCCGATCACCGCCGCGCCGCCGCTCGAATCGCCGCCGTGCCGCGCCGCGCCACCACCCCGCCGCCTCGCACCCCTCACGCCGCCCCCATCCCGCCGTTCTCTCTCTCTTCTTTTTCGGTCCTCCCTTTGGCCGTGAGCCCCACCGGCCACCGCCCAAGCCGCGCCGTCGCCACCCAAGCCGATCGCCGCCACCTGGGAGCCGTACACCGTATCCGCTGTTCCCGATTAAGTGCCGCCGCTTTCCGTTCTAGCCGCGATAGTCTAGAACGCGGGTAAATCGCGATCTAAACCCAACTTAGGACTTCGGGTATCGACGGGCGATTTTTGAGCGAAATCTGGTAAAAATTAGGTGCGGAATTGCATAAATAGGGAGTGGAAATTTTATGGCGGGCCTTAGGATTTAATTCGGGCAATATTTATTGGGAATTCGAAAATAACAGTGGCTGTGGTCTACTGTTCATGGGGCCGTGATGGGTCAATCGGGACGCAAGTGAGAAAGTCCCGTGAAGGACCGGAATCGATTTGGCGTCGTTTGGTGGAAGAAAAATAACGATTTCGGTATTAACGGACTAGTGTTTGGCAAATTTTGGGGTTTGTTTCATGGGCGAATTTATCGAGTTCACCTTGGGTGAAATTATGGTTGGAATTATGATGGTTTGGGGGTTATTTAGAGAATAAATAAGGGCTGCCTACGAGAAGTATACATGCTGGAATTTGTGGTTCGGAATAATGTGTTTATGGCTTGATTGTGGTGTATATGTGTTGGATTGTTGTGTGAGGTCGTGGCTGAATTGTGAGGGTCCTTGTGACTGAAATTACTCGCGATTGTGATGGTTATATGTGTGTTTATGAGCTGTGATCATTGGTGTGTTGGTTGAAAAATGTACGTGTCGATTTATGGATTAAACGAAGGAAATTCGGAATTGTTTGTGAAAGGTTGGACTGAATTGATTTAGTTGAAATTTGGGCATGTTTATGTGATATTTGAGCATGTGGGTATGTATGAATTTACGTGGAGCGAAGTGTGTGTGATCACTAAAAACCCTGAGACGTTTAACGTGGGGTCCAGATAAAATATAGTGTGTGGTATGCTCGTTTGATCACATAATCCCTGAGGCGTTTAACGCGGGGAATTGAACCCGTCCTGAGGCGTGTAACGCGGGACGATGCCCGGTATTACCGGAAGACTGCCAGCCCGAGGCGTGAACTTCTACGCGGGTTGCGCAATAGGTGGTAGATGTTGAGCCTGAGGCGTGTACGTTTACGCGGGCAAGAAACATGGCCTGAGGCGTGTACGTTTACGCGGGCCCGGAAGTGTTGTGAAAAGAGGTCGCAGTGTACCTGAGGCGTGTACTGTAACGCGGGTCACTGGCGAGGAATGTGAATGGGATATGATGAGAACGAGGTCGCAGTGTACCTGAGGCGTGTACGTGTACGCGGGTCACTGGCGAGGAATGTGAATGGGATATGATGAGAACGAGGTCGCAGTGTACCTGAGGCGTGTACGTGTACGCGGGTCACTGGCGAGGAATGTGAATGAGACATGATGAGAACGGAATGAGTGCATGACATGAAAATTTGTGCATGCTTGCGATTGTGTTGATGTGCCTGCTATGTGATTATGTGGTGTAGGTGAGTGATTGTGTTTTGTGAAATTGTATGGAGGTACGTGATAGCCTAGGTGGGGTTTAGGGGTGAACTTGCTGAGAAGTGTTCTCATGGTTGTTTCAACCAACATTTTCAGAACCCCGACAGGAACCATGAATCCTCCACCGCAGCCACCAGAGCGTTTTGGGGTACCCGTACACACCGAGTTGCACGTTGCAGAGTTTCCGATGGGCGATAACTTCACCTGGATTAAGCACACTTCCGCAGTATTTGTAGATGTAGTTTGGGGTGTACCTGTATATTTAGTGACTTGTAGTTTTTGGGGTACTTGCATATGTGGTGGCTTTGTAACTGTAAATATTATGGTCTAAGTTTGGCAATGGGAAAAGAAATATGTGTATTCTCCCTATTCTCCCCAGTTTTATTTGTCAGGGATTAATTGTTAGTATCCGCTGTGGTTGTAAATCTCTGATGGCGATTTGAGATCGGCGACATTCCTAGGACGTCACACTAATCGATCAGGTAAGGGTGTCGCGTGCCCGATGGGGTTCGGGGCGTGACAAATACTGATCTTCCCCATTCTCGCTCAAATATATTTGTGCGTGCAATCGTGTTTTTCCTTCTCTTGAATAGATGAAACTCAAGACATATTGCCTGCAGAAATGATCTCTAAGCTTGTCAAACGAATGTTGTAGGTGGCGCCTCCACTCCTTTACTTCCACCGGAATGGGTGTACTCGGAGAAGCATTTTCCATGGCTCCGGCCCTTTGTTCCTTGCTTTCATTCTGTGGATTTCAGAGGTTCCAGATGGCATCTGGCAACAGTTCATCAGCTATAGTGTAAGCCATTCCCAGGAGCGCAAGCTGCTATGAATCCAAACTAATTTTTTGATCACCAAAAAACCCAAAACGGATACAGCTGTGACAAATTTACCCAAACTAATTTTTTACCATCAAAAAACTTCAATCTGGTACATTTGTAACAAATTTTACCCTTCGTTAAATTGATTTAAATTACAAAAAACCACAAACTGGTACACTTATAACAAACGGAGGCTAAAACGCCAAACTTGATTATCCGTCAACTGCCATGTGTCATCAAACTCAGAAATTTGATAGCAAAATTTAACGAGAACGGAAAATAAAATTGTTACGGTTATACTAGTTCAAGGTTTTTTTTGTAATCCAAAAATTAGTTTGAGATAAATTTATAACGTGTACAAATTTAGAGTTTTTTGTGATATTATTCCGAAATATTATCATTTCCGACAACAATATATATCCAAAGTCTAGACATTTTTCATAGATTTTTCTTTTATTAATTTTTGTAAGAAATTAAAGCGATCATCTTTAGGAAAATATTTTTTAAGTCATTTATTTTCAGTGAAACAAACTAAGCATTCCACTTTTTCACTTTTCTTTGTTGAAACTTTTTACCATCGCAATTCAACTTCTGTTCAAATGAGAAGAAAAAAGAACGGAGATTTTCAAGCATTTAAATGTAGAGAGCAAAAGTTAGAAGCAAATTTAAAATAATTATTAATTTTGAAAAATTAAGACTTTTTCCACTATTAAATTTTAGAAAAGGAAGTCGTAAGCACGAGTTAGAAATGAAATTGAATATAATGAATACAAAATGATAAAATGGAAGAGAAAGTGATTTGAAAGGGACCTTACCTATGTATTTTACACTATTTTTCTATACCATACCAGAATTTTGGGCTTGTTTTATCCTATACAATTTATTAACATCAAATATCATATCGAAAATGATAATACGACATAAAATATAATCTCTTTAATCATATCTTATGGGCGAGCAAGAGGCCCTTGCTCAAGATTGCCGATCGCTCGCCCATCGGCACCCACTGATCGAGCCTAGAATTTTTTACCAGGCCTGCGAAATGCCCGTATGTTGATCAGGTCTAATCCGGACATTAGTTTCAGTTTTCGGTTGAATAGAAAGAGCAAGCGAGGATTGGTAAAAAAAGAATGTTAATATTACTCTATTATAGAAAGAGGAGAAAAATGAGATCGTCTAAACATCAATCCTTCACACCTCTCATTTGTAACCCCTTGAGTCCGAAAATTGAAATCGAAAATCGGTAAGATCTCGCAATGCTATTTATATGTGAGATCTACCCAAATGGTCACCGTGTAGCGTGAATACTCAAAGTACATCTTTCAAAGGCTTTCCCTACACGAACCGGATCGGATCGTTACACATGAACACTCATTCTCACGTGTGTTCGGCCAATGCCTCGGGAGAATTGTGGTATTCGATGTATGAAACGAGTCAGGTAGAGCAAACATAACGGAGTTATATTGACATGAGAAAGCAACATACGTAACGGTACTAATTTCCATGAATATTATTTCGATGGTCGCATTTTTTTTTCCCCAAATGTAAATGCGAAATTTATTCTCGTTAACATTTAACCCAAAGAGACCACTCATTTTTATTGAAATGACCATGGGAAATTACACTAGAAAAAGCACTAATAAGAGCAACCCCACCAACTGAAGTGCTTATTACAAATATAACGATTCTTTCTTTTAGGCACTTCTACATAATCTCATGAGGTTGATTATTTATTTATTTATCTATTTATTTAGTTTGTGGGCCTAATGAGAGCTCCCTTGAATACAAGCCCGCTCTTCCAATGGTCACTATGCTCGAACATGAACAACTCCATCTGCCCCTCCTTACACTCTGATGTGCTCACCTCTCCCGCTTTGATCTCTATCCATTCCCCCTTCGGCTTCTCCTTCAGATTCACCTTGCGCTCTTGCTTGGTCCCGTCCGGGAGAGTCACCCCGAAGTGCACCGGATCCTCCCACCCGGAAGCCGACGGTGTTAGCTTGATCAGGAAGACCACCTCGTAGGTCGTCTTCGGGGACAGGATCGACACTTCGAACTTGCAGCGCGCATCCAGCCAGCGCACATTCAGCACGACCACGTCGCTGCGAAACTTTGACGGTGATTGTTAGGGTAGATTATCACAACATGATGAAGCAAGCGTAGAACGAAATGAGTTCATGGTACTGGTTAAATCAGGTGTGCTTTTCACCTGGATGGATCTTCCTCGATCACCCATTTCCAGCAAGAGGGTTCGTCAGACCTTTGGATGATGAAGTACCGTGCATGCAACATGAAGCAATTCTTCTTCGATTCGTTTTCCACCGAGTATTTCTGCCACCATATCAATTTAAACAGGACAACATCACATGCCTAATTTGCTCGCTCACTTCTCCTTTCTTATCGAAAATCAAAAGGTCATCGAAAGACATATTCGCCGATTTACCGAAATGGCGCGCAAAAAAAAAGCGAACGAATTGCTTTCAGAACCGGTGTATGCGGGGCGCTGTGAACTCGTGTTCCGACGGTCATGCATCTTTTGATGTGGATTTCAGCAAGCAAAAAGCATATGGAGTGGAGTATGACTTACCACGGTCCTATTGTTTAAGAAAACACCAGCACGGAGCTGATCATACAGTTTCTCCAGAGGGATGTTATCGTGAATTGCTGGTGAATCAGACCCCCTCAAAATGGATCGATACCGATGGGGATGACACTGTACTTCCATGGCTTCCGATGCTCTCTCTGGCTTGGAGTTCTCTTGAGTGATGATAAGCTCTCTCACAGGGTCTTCTCTCCCGATATCTCAAGCTTCCTCTTGCTCCACTATATATACACAGCATCATTGTGACTTGGGACAAGACTTTATTCCCATCTTGTGGATGCACTCCAAGGGGAACAAAATGGCTCTTTCCATCTTTTAGCGAATCTTCAAGTGGATAAAAAGTAAATATTCCTCAAGATTCTACTAAAGCAAGGTCTTTCTGCAGATCTCTCCCCAAGTTCTTGAAATTTTGGAATTAGCAAGTTGTAGGAATGAATGCAATTTGATGTGCTATTGCTAGCATGAGGGCGAATTAACACGACGGCATCGCGATCTGGGGAACTAACTTTCAATTAGCGAAAACAATGTTTATGGCAAACTACCAAAGAAACACTCTCGAGGGCAATTCTAACTAATGTCGGACCGTCCTGAAGATGCTGATATCGATCGAATCAAAAACGCGTGGCTGTGCTAGTGTATTTTTCTAATATTCCTTCCATCTTGAGATGTATTACGGCATTTTTGTAGGGAGAAAGAATGAAAAGGAACGTATGATTGCATAATTCCGAATTATTATTAGAGAGAGAGACAGAGACAGAGAGAGGCTACACTATTTCACAGTAACTGGTAGTGAATGTACTAAACACTGCTTAAATACGCTATACACTTGCCGACGATTCACCAACAATTCGGCACTGTGCTAAGCACCAACCTATACTCTCCATGAATTTCAATCTACTTCACGGTCCCTGTTGATGAATGCCAGTCTCAAGTTTCAGAACTCAAAGGATCTTGAACAATCTATCTTGCGATATAGAGATTGGCCGATGGCCACGTCCGCTAAAAGCTAAAGACGGGACGCGATGAGCTCCTACCTATATCTTCCGGGGGAAGATATAACTAGATGAATGAGATATGTATGTAAATATATCTTAGCTCTCCGGATCAGTGAACCTGGGGCTTTCAAGTTCTCCCATGCTTGCAGAAGCAAACGACTCGATATATTCAACCGTCGAAAGAGAAGAAGCAGACTCATCAGAATCGGAGATGATATCGTCATGTCCGATGTGGTCCTCGTCAATTTCAGAGGTGTCTTAACCCGATGTTCCCAGAAGCTTGTTTATTGCCGATTTTGCAGTTTCAACAAACCATTCATCCTCCGGGAGTGGACTGCAAAAACAGGAGAGGGGAGAGGGGGAGAAAGCAGTATTTAGCTTTTAAGTCATACGGGGAGAGAGAGAGAGAGAGAGAGAGATAGCATTGAATGATACCTCTGAGGGTCTATGCCTCTAGCAGAAAACGTCCTGATTGCACGGGCAATGATGGCTGATGCAATCTGGTGCGCATGCCGAGATGGATAACCAGCAAAGCGCGCTATTTCAACGGTGAAGTACATATCAAGAATCAACTGCATCCAATCGACCACATGAACGGAGCAAATTAGTATCGCGTTATCTCCAAACCAAAATAATCTGAACCAAGTGGGTAATAAGAAACAACAATAAGACCTTCAGATAACCATAAACATCAAAAGAAACCAGCAGAATGTTAACCAAACAGGTTTAAGAGGACTTTACAGATACCACAATGGAAGCAACAAAATAGCTAAGGACTTCGCTTTATTTGAACAACGGATAGCAGAAAAAAATAGTTTGCATCACCTATTAAGACGAGCGCTAGAATAAGAGAGAGACATACCACTACATGTTCGAAAGTATGCAGTATTAAATTAATTTGGGATCTAATAGACCCATAATCGGAATATCAGTTGCTCAACAGATGAACAGAATGAAGCAATCAAATTTTCCCAGTCATCTGGACATGACACGAGTTCTCAGCTATCCAACGCTGCATGTAGTCTTATGATTGTTAAAACTAGTACTTAAGTGAAGACTAATAGCTGGCCGACATCCGATGATAAGCTTTCGCCATGCTAGTAATATAGCAGTATCAGTTACGAAAATAGAAGTAACAATCTTTATGTTGAGGCTTCAGACAAGAGGCAAATTCGATGTCTATAGGTGTGCCACCAGTAAAAGCATGGAAATCAAGGACAACGCTAATCCTCGAGTAGGAGTTCTTCTGGTGCCGGAAGCCAAAATATATAGATAGTGATCAGCAAATTTTTTTCGAAGCAGCTCATCTGAACACGCTTCAAGTCCATCCACTATTATAGAGATAAGAGGGCACAAAATCTCCTAATTCTCCCCAAACATCTTTGGTTTTACATGTATCTAAGAGGAAATGTCATGTACAGAAGGGAATGCTTTTCTTTATATTTTACGAAGATCACGAACTAAGATAAGTGTCCGAATGACTTAACTACTTCTCGCATTTCGGTAATCCTTGTTTAGCACGCACACAGAAGGAAATAAAACAAAAAAGGAAAAAAAATGTCATGAATCCGATACCTGTTGCAAACCAAGTGGCTGAATAGCAGATGAATCATCTTCAAATGCACTCCAGAAATCCTGATCTTCCGACAACCACATCACCACTGTTTCTGTAAGCCTGGCGAGCAATATCTTTTGTATTTTATCTCTTCCAAGTAAAACATCTCCAGCTACAGTACCTAACTGCTGCGACTTTGCAAATAAAGCCTGCAGCAACATCATCGACATATATTGTTCATCAGAAAAGAAAATAAGGTGAGAAAATTCTATATTTTGTTTTGGCATCATCAAGATATTTTGTTTTTCCCGCTGCGATGTTTATGTTAGAGGCCATGCTCAAAATTATCTCTCAAAAGTTGTCATTACCAAGCATCATCCAAATATGAGTACAACAAAAATAAAGACAGCACAGCCAGAAGCACAAGCCACCATGAATAAATTCTAATAGACTAGTTAAACATGTAAGAAGAGAACTTTCTTTTTCGAGCAGAAAAGCAAGGACATCTATATTGGAAGTTAAAGTACCTGAAATGGAAGTGATGGCAGGGGATCAGAATCCCAATACTGGTCTTCCCCATTCTCACTCAAATATATTTGCGCGTGCAATCGTGTTTTTCCTTCTCTTGAATAGATGAAACTCAAGACATATTGCCTGCAGAAATGATCTCTAAGCTTGTCAAACGAATGTTGTAGGTGGCGCCTCCACTCCTTTACTTCCACTGGAATGGGTGTACTCGGAGAAGCATTTTCCATGGGTCCGGCCCTTTGTTGCTTGCTTTCATTCTGTGGATTTCAGAGGTTCCAGATGGCATCTGGCAACAGTTCATCAGCTATAGTGTAAGCCATTCCCAGGAGCGCAAGCTGCTATGAATCCAAACTAATTTTTTGACCACCAAAAAACCCAAAACAGATACAGCTGTGACAAATTTACCCAAACTAATTTTTTACCATAAAAAAACTTCAATCTGGTACATTTGTAACAAATTTTACCCTTCGTTAAATTGATTTAAATTACAAAAAACCACAAACTGGTACACTTATAACAAACGGAGGCTAAAACGCCAAACTTGATTATCCGTCAACTGCCACGTGTCATCCAACTCAGAAATTTGATAGCAAAATTTAACGAGAACGGAAAATAAAATTGTTACGGTTATACTAGTTCAAGGTTTTTTTTGTAATCAAAAAATTAGTTTGAGATAAATTTATAACGTGTACAAATTTAGAGTTTTTTGTGATATTAACCCGAAATATTATCATTACCGACAACAATATATATCCAAAGTCCAGACATTTTTCATAGATGGTGAAAATATTTTTCTTTTATTAATTTTTGTAAGAAATTAAAGCGATCATCTTTAGGAAAATATTTTTTAAGTCATTTATTTTCAGCGAAACAAACTAAGCATTCCACTTTTTCACTTTTCTTTGTTGAAACTTTTTACCATCGCAATTCAACTTCTATTCAAATGAGAAGAAAAAAGAACGGAGATTTTCAAGCATTTAAATGTAGCGCGCAAAAGTTAGAAGCAAATTTAAAATAATTATTAATTTTGAAAAATTAAGACTTTTTCCACTATTAAATTTTAGAAAAGGAAGTCGTAAGCACGAGTTAGAAATGAAATTGAATATAATGAATACAAAATGATAAAATGGAAGAGAAAGTGATTTGAAAGGGACCTTACCTATGTATTTTACACTATTTTTCTATACCATACCAGAATTTTGGGCTTGTTTTATCCTATACAATTTATTAACATCAAATATCATATCGAAAATGATAATACGACATAAAATATAATCTCTTTAATCATATCTTATGGGCGAGCAAGAGGCCCTTGCTCAAGATTGCCGATCGCTCGCCCATCGGCACCCACTGATCGAGCCTAGAATTTTTTACCAGGCCTGCGAAATGCCCGTATGTTGATCAGGTCTAATCCGGACATTAGTTTCAGTTTTCGGTTGAATAGAAAGAGCAAGCGAGGATTGGTAAAAAAAGAATGTTAATATTACTCTATTATAGAAAGAGTAGAAAAATGAGATCTTCTAAACATTAATTCTTCACCTCTCTCATTTGTAACCCCTTGAGTCCGAAAATTGAAATCGAAAATCGGTAAGATCTCGCAATGCTATTGATATGTGAGATCTACCCAAATGGTCACCGTGTAGCGTGAATACTCAAAGTACCTCTTTCAAAGGCTTTCCCTACACGAACCGGATCGGATCGTTGTAACAGCCCGAATTCCGATGTAATTCCGGGATCAATAAAACTGATATTAATTCGCATTTCATTTTAGTAAGTCTCGCCCGGAGCTGATCACTCTCGGGATACTAACCAATGGGGTATGGCTAACTAGAAAATGGTACGTGGACCGGGGACCCTATCGTGAAACGGACACCGATCACGAGAGACGCTGGAGGAATATTTTGGGCCAACGTGGGCCGATCGTAGGAAAGGGTGATGGATTGGGTTTGGCTAAGGCCTACGATGTACAATAGGGACGTAGGTGATTCTGCAAGACCGAAAGTACACGTGGCCCACCAGTCCTGAACTTGAACCGAACGATCGTGACCTCTGGAACTAGTGATAATTTCTCATTCTCTCAATGATCAAGACCGTCACGACTCGAATAACCCTTGGTCAATACGCATAACCTCTAAACAGCTGCCCGTTAGTAAGAGACCCTGAAATTGAAAGTTTAGCGAGTTTCGTTCACAGAATTGGGCCCGAATTTCGATGCCGATTTTCGAAGGCTTAAGAGACTATTTTTTGGAATCTGACGTCATATCATGTTGGCCATGCACGTTTGGAGTTAGTACGAGTAAAAATTGGAATTTCGGTCCGGGGTGAAAAATTACGATTTTGCCCCTCGGGACGCCAGCGTTGTTTTTCGAGGCCAAATGAGGTTATTTTTCGAGGCCGACGCCATTTTTGGGTGGTCACGCATACCAGGAGTCGTTATGGCCAAAAATTGGAATTTCGACAAAAATTAGACAAATAATATTATTTTATTCCCGGAACTTCGCAGTCAATTTTCAAGCGCTTAAGAAGCTATTTTCGCGATTCCGACACCACATTATGTTGGCCACGCACATGGAGGGTTGGTACAGGCGAAAAATGGAACTTCACCCCGGGACCGGAAAAATGACCGTTTTGCCCCTGGGCTATTTTCGGGTCCGAATTTTTGGGAAAATTTTGGAGTAATTAAATATGGATTATCAGCTGCATTATTGGCCTTATTTACCCTTTTACCCCTCAATTATTTGGATAGGATTATTTAGGACCGTTAGATTAGGGGCGTTTTGGTCAAAACCGTCGGATTTGCGACACGTGGCGCCCCTAGGCTGCAATATTTGACCAGATCAGGTCTGTTTCTCTCTCCTCATCTCCCCCATTCGGCCAGAACAGCCCCCACCAGTAGCTTTCTCCCTCTCTTTCTCTCTTTTTCTCTCTCGGTTTGCCTCGCCGGAGCTCACCGCCGGCCACCGGAGCGCCGCCGCCGGCCACCGTGCCTCGCCGTCGACCACCTCAGTCCCCAGCCTCAGTCTTGCCCCTGTCCGACCCTTTTCTCTCTCTATTGCTCCCTCTTTCTTCCTCTTTTTCTCTCTTTCCCGTTCGGCAAATAGGGCCGCCGGAGCTTCGCCGGAGCTCGGATCGCCGTTCCGTCGCCACCCAGCCGTCCAGCCACGCTGTACGACGCCGACCGTACCTGTCCGTATAGTGTCCCCCCGTACGGTCGTACTGTTCACCGGGTCCGTACGGTCACTGTTCACGCCGTCCGTAAGCCGTCGCCGGGAATTCGCCGCCGGTTTCACTGTTCACCAGTGATCGGCCGCCGTTCCCCGTCGTCGTGACCTTGGATTAAGTGAGTAAAATTTCTAAACCCGGATTAGGACTGATAGTGCATTTTTTTGGACCGATTTAGGTATTGTCGGTGCATTTTGGACTAGCTTAGGTAGTATCAGTGTATATTTCAAACTGGGATGAGGACTGATTGGTAGGAATTATTATTGGGAAAATTTAGTGGATTAATGAGAATTATTTGGAGAGATTAATTGGATCAAATGACCAATTTAGGAGCCCATTGGAAAATTACCGGGTATGTCCTGATTGACTGGTTGTACGTAATTTGTGCTTAATTGTGATTGACTTCGTACTGCCATGTCACATGTCGTGTGGTTGAATTATGTGGAGTGCGATTGGCCAATGATTGGTTTGAAATTAATTATTGAATTGTGAATCGCACGTTGGGCCACACGGTATTAATTGGGCCAATTGAGCACGTGTTGTGATATTGAGTGTTTGAATTTCATTGGTGCTCATAGTGCATTGCTTTGCATAACATGGACACGCATTGTGTATGCCAAGAGCGAGGCATGTGATGAAATTGTGCAAGAATGCGTGCCTGCCATGAGCATGTGATCACCTGAAATACCCTGAAGCGTTACACGCTGGGTTCAGACAATAATGAGTTGTGTGATCACCTAAAGGCCTTTGGGTCATGACCTTCGGGTCGATACCGTCCTCATGCACTTTGAAGCAGGACGATGCCCGGTAAGTCCGGAAGACGACCATCCTCATGCACTTTGAAGCAGGCTCTGGTTCGTAAGGAAATCAGTGTTACGCCTCATGCACTTTGAAGCAGGCTAGAGACACTGGGCCAGATCGGTTGCTGCGCCTCATGCACTTTGAAGCGGGCTAGACGCACCGGTCCGTGAATGTTGTTGACTCGAGTCGTAATAAATAATAAATTGTGCGATTGCCAGTGTGCTAGTGTGGGCCAGTGGGCTGGGAAAATGCACATGACATGTCGACGACATTTGCATGCATGAACATGCATGGACTGGCATGCGAGTGTGTGAGACTCGGTGCATGAGCATGTGATTGGCGTACGTGTGATAATGTGTGCCACGTACGTGCCGTGATTATTATATATTGAACTGCCTAACCTGCATGGTCAGAGAATTGTTTGATTGTTGTTGCATTATGGTTTCAAATAATTGTTTCCGGTCAGGAGATTGCATGCTAGCCTAGCCTAGGTTTAGGGGTTGAACTCATTGAGATTCGTCTCACGGTTGTGTAAATCGAAACTTTTCAGACCCCCAGTGTCACGCCCCGTACTCTACCGGAACGCAACATCCCGTCGACGGTCGATTATGGTGCAACGCTCCCAGGAAGCATTGCCGACCCAACGCACAATCAGAGATCAAACACATACGGAAGCAACATATATAAATAAATATATACACCCATACAATACATCGCATGAGACTAAGGATAGCCAAGCAATAAACAACGATCAACGCAGAAAATATGTACATACTTATATCACTATTTTAAAACCCTTTTTACAGTGCTCCCAACAACTCAAATAAAACACAAACTCCTAGGAATAACCAAACAGCCACTTCTCCGATCTGCTCCGTCTCCACAGGGGTGCACGCTCAACGACCGCCGGATGAAATGCAGCATCCCAAAAAGTGGTGGTGTCCTTGGCATCCTACGGCTGGGGGTCCGAAAATGTTTCGGTTTACACAACCGTGAGACGAATCTCAGCGAGTATGACCCCCTAAACCTAGGCTAGGCTAACATGCAATCTCCTGACCGACAGCACAAAACAACATAACCAACCAATTTATAAATAAACTCCGACCTAGGCCCTCGACCCGCATCTCTTACCCGGCGACCTCGGGTTATTGACAATCATGATTTAAATCAAGTCACATACGCGAGCACTCGGTTCACGCGTACGTCAAACGTATGCTCATACTTAATAATGGTAATAACGCGTGTCAATCACCGAGTCCCGCACACCCGCAAACCGGCCCATGCATTCTTATGTATGCAATGCTATCGTCACACCATACTCATGCCTCGGCTCACTAGCCCACACTGGCACCTTGGCACTTGCTCAATTTATCATTTATTACGACCCGCGTAAAACGCATCAGGTCTCTTCATTTAATCACAACACTTCGTGGCCCGCGTTAAAACGCATCAACTGGCCCAGTGTCTCTAGCCCGCGTCAAAACGCATCAGGCGCAACACCGATCTCCTCACGAACCAGAGCCCGCGTAAAACGCATCAGGTTGGTCGTCTTCCGGACGTACCGGGCATCGTCCCGCGTAAAACGCATCAGGACGGCACACCCCGCGTAACACGCATCATGGCGAAATTGTGATCACACATACACACAATCAATTATTATCTGCACCCCGCGTATCACGCATCAGGGCATTTAGGTTATCACATGCTCATGGCAGGCACGCATTCTCGCACAATTCATCACACGCCTCGTTCCTGGCATTCACTATGCGTGCCATGAAACGCAAAACAATGCAACATGAGCATCAGCACAATTCAAGCATTCGGTTAATTTCATGCCGCAACAATCGTTCACTCGCCAATTAATACCCTGCGGCTCAATTCCACAATGTGCAATTCAATAATCCAATCAAGCCATCATATGGCCAATCACACTCCGCACAAGTCGGCCACGCAGTCACGCGACATGGCATTACTCAATTTCCCAACAATTGGGTACAGAAATCAACCAGTCAATCAACCCGGGCATACCCAGCAGTCCAATCACATAATCCCCGATTAATCTGTGCTAGTCCAATAATTATTTCTAATAATCCCACTAAATTCCTTAGACTTAATTTCCAACGATCGATCCTCAATCCAGTCCGAATTACACACTGGTACTACCTAATCTAGTCCAGACTACACCGATAATACCTAAGCCAACATGCCAAACACAATCATTCACCAAATCGACGAATTCAACGCATCCTTGGCACATTCAATATATTTCCACTTTGGTTCAACGAATCCCACATTCATTCGCACGTTCATTCCAAGGTAGTTCAATGCGTTAAAGGCCCGCCCTGGGCAAATCCATCTCAATAGTTATTCTCACCACTTCGGGGTCATTCAATAGGATTTATACACGTCCTAATCATCCCCTAAAAAAGCCTAAATTCTTGTCATTAGTCCATTATTCTTAGAATATTCAACTTGGGCACAAATTAGGCATTTTCGGTACTGAATGAACAGTACCAGGAAAAATTAACATTTAGGCACTAAACCACCTTTAAACCATCTCATTAAGGCCTAATCACCTACCCCAAACATCCAACCACCAAATACATATAATTAAGCCTCAAATGAGCTTAATTAACACTTGAATTGTCTAATTTCAAGCCTTGAATCATTGAATTCAATTAGTGCAAAACTTAGACAAATATGCACATTTTCGGTACTTTGTGAACGACTTGCACAGGGGTCGTTTTGAACACTAATCCACACTTAAATAACCTCATTAAGCCCTAATGACCTATCATAATCATCCTACACCCAAATAAACATCATTAGGTCCTAAATGAGCTTAATTAACCCCTAATTACCCCCTAAGGACACAATTAGACTAATTAAGGGTTTAGGGGTTTATACTCGCCTATTAGCGACTCGGACGACGGAACGGGCGGTCGATCACCGACGTGCGGTAAGGATCGACGGCGGCGTTCCGGGTGCAAGCCGGCGGTCACGGCGGACGACGGGAACGGCGATTTGCTCGCTGTTTTCTTCCGTTCGGAGCTGGAAATGGGACCGTGGTGGCTGTTTAAGGGCAAAAATGGTTCTTGGTGGTGCGGGATGGTGGCTGGTGGCGACCAAGAGCTCCTCCGGCTAATCTTCCTAGGCGTGAACAGTACCGGGGACGTGCGAATTGTGCACGGCAAACGAGAAATGGCGATGAAGAGAGGAAATGGGAGGGAGCTCTCGGCAGATCGGCGAATGGAAGAGAGAGAGAGATTTCTGGTCAAATATGGGTCAAATTTGGTCTTAGTGGAGTCCAAGTGTCAAGATCTAGGCCAATTGGACAATTTTGCCCTTGATCCAAGGGATATCCTTCCTTCTCATCCAATAATTTAGGGGTAAAATGGTCATTGATCCTTAACCCAAGCTGACCAGACCTGGTTTAGCCCTAACTCACCTTGGTTAGTCCCCTAATTAAATCCAAAATTCGGAATTACCAAAAATGGGTCCAAGGGCATTTTAGTAATTTTTCGGTCCCGAGTCATAATTCCAATTTTCTCACACACGCGTTTCATATGTGCGTGGCCAACATAATATGGCGTCAGAATCGCGAAATTCACTTTTTAAGTCCTCGAAAACTGACTGCAAAGTTTTCGGGAATAAAATAATATTATTTTTCTAATTTTTGTCGATATTCCACTTTTTGGCCAAAACCACTCTAAATGTGCGTGGCCATGCCAAAATGACATTGGCCGCGAAAAATAACCTCAAACGGCCTCCGAATCCGGCCTCGGTGCCCACAGGGGCAAAACCGTAATTTCTCACCCCCGGACCGAAATTCCAATTTTCACTCGTACTAACCCCAAACGTGTGTGGCCAGCGTAATATGACATCAGATTCCGAAAAATAGTCTCTTAAGCCTTCGAAAATCGACCTCGAAATTCGGGCTTAATTCCGTGAACAAAACTCGCTAAACTTTCAATTTCAGGGTTTCTCACTAACGGTCGGCTGTTTAGGAGTTACGCGTATCGACCTAGGGCTATCCATGTCGTAATGGTCTCGATCATTGAGAGAATGAGAAATTATCATTAGTTCCAGAGGTCACGATCGCTCGGTTCAAGTTCAAGACTGGTTGGCCACGTGTACTTTCGGTCTTGCAGAATCACCTGCGATCCGATGGTACATCGTTGGCCTTGGCCAAACCAGATCCGTTACCTTTCCTAAGATCGGTCCATACTGGTTCATAATATTCTTTCGTCATTTCTTGAGATCGGTGCCCAATTCACGATCGGGTCCCTGGTCCACGTACCATTTTCCTAGTTAGCCATACCCCATTGGTTAGTATCCCGAGAGTGATCAGCTCTGGGCGAGACTTACTAAAATGAAATGCGAAATATGGTCAATTTATTGATCCCGGAATTACATCGAAATTCAGGCCGTTACACCCAGCCGTAAAGATGCCTCCGAGGAGTTGCCAGATGATTCTATCGAGTCGTTCGACCCTGACTGGGAGCCCTAGAGCAGGCCGGTACCCTGGAAAGCGAAGACCGTCTCTTTTTGAATGGCGTTCATACCCTAGCTAGCCTAACCACCTGTGCCACTTACCCTTTTTGATATAGTGGCAGTTAAATACTGATGTTGAGGTTTTTGGAGCTGTACAAATGGATAGTGTAAAAAGGTTTTTCTATAACAGTACAAGTGTATATTCTTGTTTGATGGCTGTTCTACCTTGGTCTCACGTGTGTTGTTTTGTACGGGTGTATATATATATATATTTATATACGTTGTTTCCGCATGTGACTTATCTCTGATTGGGCGTTGGGTCGGCGACGCATCCTAGGAGCGTTGCATCACAAACGACCAGAGATGGGATGCGCGCGCCTCGATGGGGTACGGGGCGTGACATCCCCGTTTGATTTGGTATCGAGCAAGGTCGGCTCGGTCCAATCTAGTCGAAGCACAGGTGATAAGGAGCGATGAGACCATGGGTAGCCGATAGGGGTGACCTTGTGTGCTACATGCATCTCCTGACAGCTGTGTTTGATTAAGTGCTCATCGGTATGACCCGTAAAGTGCAGGTGCGGCAGGACCTGAGGTGAGTACGTGAACTCCTTGGGTGATGTGTTGATTGGCTCTTGTTAGGCCGCATGCTGGTTGTTTGATTGTTGTTTTGGTACCTGCCTAGGACTTAGACTGGGATAGAATGGTTTAAGTCTTTAATTCCTTAATGGAATTATAGCAGGTAGTGGAATAACTGAGTCGTGAGGATGAGTAGAAGAAAGGGTAAGGAACCTCAGGGTCAGCCTAGTTCAGGAGGCCAAGAGGCCGGAAACCGCCGACTAGAGGATATCATTCAAATTCCAAGCAGGAGAAGAGGAAAGGAGCCCCAAGCCCAGGCTAGCGAGGGAGCCCGTGAGGCTAGAGATCCGAGGTTTGATGATGTGATGAATACCCTAAGGGAGATAGGGCGTGTTATGGGATTGCAGGCTCAGGAAAGGGCCGCAGCTTATGCGCAGGCTGCTGAGGCTGCGCCGATTGCTGGCAATGAAGGAAATCAAGCCCAGCAAGGGCAGGCCCAGCCATGACAGCCCGGCAGATGCCCCAATTGGTCGAGCAATTTCTGAAAATGAAGCCGCCAAAGTTTAATGGTAAAGGTGACCCCGAAGCTGCCCCAGATTGGGTAGAGGAGTTAGAAAAGACATTTGAGGTATTGGGGTGCACCGACACAGAGAAAGTGACGCTGGCGGCGTATCAGTTGCAGAGCAGTGCAAATGATTGGTGGAAAGCCACCAGGGGTAGAGTATTCCCGGAAGGTACAGAATTAAATTGGGCAGTGTTTGTTGAAAGTTTTTATGGAAAGTACTTTTCAGAAGTCGCCCAAGAGAAGAAGTTGATGGAGTTCATGCGACTGCGCCAAGGTCAGATGACCGTTAATCAGTATGAAAGAGAATTTGCAAGATTGGCCAAGTTCGCACCGACTATGGTTGAGAACCCGAGGGACAAAGCTAGGAGATTCCAAGATGGTTTGAAGCCGGATCTCCGGAGCCAGATTGTATCGCACAATATCAAGGATTTCGGGAAAATGTATGAGCGGGCACAGATTATAGAGCGAGATCAGCAAGAAAGAGCAGCCGCTTCTGGATCGCGGTTTGCTCAGATCAGAGACAACCGTCGTATGGGGAATAGACCTATGACAGGAAACAGGCGGTTTGTTCCACCCGCTAGACGGACAATAGGAAAGCCGAATCCCCAGCCAAGTAGATTTGGGGCATGTTTTAAATGTGGGAGCATGGAGCATCAGATGCCCACAGATGCAACCCTCAGGACCCCTCAGACTACCGCTGCCACGAACTGGAAACCAGGCCAGACTTCCTCCATCGGCTAATCAAGGTCGACCGCCAGCTCAAGGAAGGGTCTATGCCATGGCGCGCAGAGAAGCTGAGAATGCGCCGGGCGTGGTCACAGGTACGATTTCCTTATGTGATCATGCTGCTTATGCATTATTTGATCCGGGGGCGACCCACTCTTTCGTTTCAGAGCAGTTTATTCAGTTAGTTGGTATGAAACCTGTGTTGCTTGAAAATGTGCTTTGCGTATCGACTCCCATGAATGATAGGGTACTAGTTTCTTTTGGATGCCCTAGCTGTAAGATAATTATTGGGGGTAAGGAAGAGAGTATCGACTTGGCAGTATTGGCCATGTTCGATTTTGAGGTGATCATTGGAATGGACTGGTTAGTCCGACAGAAAGCTGTATTGGATTGCAGCGATAGGACGATCCAATTTAATCCGAATGGACGCCCTAGTTTTGTATTTCAGGGAAACCGAGGAGGAACCTTGATTCCTTGGATATCCTCGCTGGAGGTGAGTAAGTTATTGGATGAAGGATGTGAAGGGTATCTTGTGAATGTCGTAGATCCGACAATGGCGGAACCTAAGTTGGAGGATATACCCGTAGTATGCGATTTCCCCGAGGTGTTTCCTCAGGAATTGCCAGGTTTACCGCCTGAGCGAGAAGTGGAGTTTGTGATTGAATTGGCCCCTGGGACAAAACCGATTTCGAGGGCGCCGTATCGGATGTCCCTATCAGAATTGAAAGAGTTAAAGGTCCAGATACAGGAATTACTGGACAAGGGTTTTATTCGCCCTAGTGCGTCTCCATGGGGAGCACCAGTTCTGTTTGTCAAGAAGAAAGATGGAACTCTGAGGTTGTGTATAGATTACCGGCAGCTGAACCAAGTGACAGTGAAGAATAAGTATCCACTGCCGAGGATTGATGATTTGTTTGACCAGTTACAAGGAGCCTCAGTATTTTCTAAGATAGATTTGAGGACCGGGTACCATCAACTGAAGATCAGAAACGAGGATATCTCTAAGACTGCTTTTAGGACCAGGTACGGGCATTATGAGTTTTTGGTTATGCCCTTTGGACTAACGAACGCCCCAGCTGCTTTCATGGATTTAATGAATCGGGTGTTCAAAGAATTCCTAGATCAGTTCGTGATAGTTTTTATCGATGATATTCTGGTATACTCAAAGAGCCTTGAGGAGCATGAGGTACACTTGGCTGTAGTGCTACGGACCTTAAGGGAACACGCGTTGTATGCCAAGTTCAGTAAATGTGAGTTTTGGCTCAGCCGAGTAGGGTTTCTTGGACACATAGTTTCTGGAGATGGAATTTCTGTAGACCCAGCTAAGATCGAGGCGGTAATGAAGTGGCCTAGACCGACCTCAGTGACCGAGATCCGGAGTTTCTTAGGATTAGCTGGTTATTATCGACGTTTTATAGAAGGATTCTCGTCGATAGCCATGCCGTTGACGCGATTGCTAAAGAAGGAATCTAAGTTCGTGTGGGATGAGAAATGTGAGAGGAGTTTTCAAGAGCTGAAGCATAGATTGACAACAGCTCCCGTGTTAACTATTCCCTCTGGACCAGGAGGATTTGAGGTTTATAGCGATGCGTCACTAAGAGGACTCGGTTGTGTCCTGATGCAGCGTGGAAAAGTGGTAGCGTATGCGTCGCGTCAGTTGAGGCCTCATGAGATGAATTACCCGACGCATGACTTGGAATTGGCCGCGATCGTATTCGCTCTCAAAATCTGGAGACATTATTTGTGTGGAGAGAAATTCCAGATTTACACTGATCATCAAAGCCTCAAATGTTTGTTCTCGCAGAAGGAGTTAAATATGAGGCAGCGCCGATGGATGGAACTTTTAAAGGATTATGATTGCGACATTTTGTATCACCTTGGTAAGGCGAATCGAGTTGCAGATGCCTTAAGTCGCAAGTCTAGTATGGCGCACCTAATGGTCAAGGAGTGGACCTTATTGGAAAGACTCAGGAATTCAGAGTTCAAATTCGAGATGAGTCACGTATCAAATTTGCTGGCAGCTTTGAGGATTGAGCCAGAAATCCAGATCAAGATTAAGGAACTACAGTCTACGGACCCAGAAATCCAAAAGATTATTGAGATGGATGCAGCTAAGAGGAAACCGGACTTTCAAGTGTCCGAGGATGGAGTTCTGAAGTTTAGAGGGCGATTGTGTGTGCCGGATGATATAAAACTTAAGGAAGAAATTTTGTCAGAAGCTCATATGAGTGATTATAGTATCCATCCAGGCAGCACGAAAATGTATCAGAATCTGCGGCAACATTTTTGGTGGAACGGGATGAAGACGGATGTGGCCAAGCATGTGGCCAAATGTTTGACGTGCCAACTAGTGAAGGCACAGCACTGCAAGCCAGGTGGCTTATTGAGGCCGTTAGAGATCCCTGAATGGAAGTGGGAGCACATCACGATGGATTTCGTATCGGGATTGCCACGAAGCCAGAGAGGGCATGATTCAATATGGGTCATAGTGGATCGCTTGACTAAGTCAGCGCACTTTCTGGCAGTGCGAAAGGACTTTGAGCTGGAAAGATATGCCGAATTGTATGTGAGGCAAATAGTACGTCTTCATGGGGTACCAGTGACGATCACATCGGATCGTGACCCGAGGTTTACAGCGAGTTTTTGGAAAAGTCTGCAAGTGGCCTTAGGCACTAAGTTGCAATTCAGTACGGCCTATCATCCGCAGACAGATGGTCAGTCGGAAAGGACAATTCAGACCTTAGAGGATATGCTGAGAGCTTGTGTAGTGGATTTTCAGGGCAAATGGGAGGAACAGCTGCATTTAGTAGAATTTGCCTATAATAACAGTTACCAACAGAGTATTCAAATGGCACCATTCGAAGCCTTATATGGTAGGGCGTGTAGGACGCCCCTGTGCTGGGATGAAGTAGGTGAGCGAAGTATCACAGGCCCAGAGTTAGTACAACAGTCAGTTGAAGCTGTGGAAATCATTCGGGACAGACTGAGGACAGCGCAGAGTCGCCAAAAGAATTATGCCGACAGAAGACGACGACCCTTGGAGTTTCAAGTGTGAGACCATGTATTTCTCAGGGTGTCACCAATGAAAGGATTATCCCGATTCGGAAAGAAAGGAAAACTCAGTCCAAGGTACATCGGGCCATTTGAGATATTGGAAAAGATTGGTGATATGGCTTATCGACTTGCCTTGCCGCCTAACCTGTCCCAAGTGCACAATGTTTTCCACGTGTCGATGTTAAGAAGGTACGAATCGGACCCGACCCACATTCTGAAGCACGAAGAGATTGATGTGGACGACAGGGTGTCGTACGTGGAAAGGCCAGTTAGGATTGAGGATAGAAAAGAGCGCGTGCTGAGGAACAAGACGATCCCGATGGTCAAAGTTGTCTGGGAGCACCATGGAACAGAAGGTGCTACGTGGGAAAGTGAAGAAACTATGAGACGTCAATACCCCCAGTTATTTGAGTAGATAAGGATAGATTGCAAATTTCGAGGACGAAATTTTTGTAAGGGGGGAAGAATTGTAACAGCCCGAATTCCGATGTAATTCCGGGATCAATAAAACTGATATTAATTCGCATTTCATTTTAGTAAGTCTCGCCCGGAGCTGATCACTCTCGGGATACTAACCAATGGGGTATGGCTAACTAGAAAATGGTACGTGGACCGGGGACCCTATCGTGAAACGGACACCGATCACGAGGGACGCTGAGGGAATATTTTGGGCCAACGTGGGCCGATCGTAGGAAAGGGTGATGGATTGGGTTTGGCTAAGGCCTACGATGTACAATAGGGACGCAGGTGATTCTGCAAGACCGAAAGTACACGTGGCCCACCAGTCCTGAACTTGAACCGAACGATCGTGACCTCTGGAACTAGTGATAATTTCTCATTCTCTCAATGATCAGGACCGTCACGACTCGAATAACCCTTGGTCAATACGCATAACCTCTAAACAGCCGCCCGTTAGTAAGAGACCCTGAAATTGAAAGTTTAGCGAGTTTCGTTCACGGAATTGGGCCCGGATTTTGATGCCGATTTTCGAAGGCTTAAAAGACTATTTTTTGGAATCTGACGTCATATCATGCTGGTCATGCACGTTTGGAGTTAGTACGAGTAAAAATTGGAATTTCGGTCCGGGGGTGAAAAATTACGATTTTGCCCCTCGGGACGCCAGCGTTCTTTTCGAGGCCAAATGAGGTTATTTTTCGAGGCCGACACCATTTTTGGGTGGTCACGCATACCAGGAGTCGTTATGGCCAAAAATTGGAATTTCGACAAAAATTAGAAAAATAATATTATTTTATTCCCGGAACTTCGCAGTCAATTTTCAAGGGCTTAAGAAGCTATTTTCGCGATTCCGACGCCACATTATGTTGGCCACGCACATGGAGGGTTGGTACGGGCGAAAAATGGAACTTCGCCCCGGGACCGGAAAAATGACGGTTTTGCCCCTAGGCTATTTTCGGGTCCGAATTTTTGGGAAAATTTTGGGGTAATTAAATATGGATTATCAGCTGCATTATTGGTCTTATTTACCCTTTTACCCCTCAATTATTTGGATAGGATTATTTAGGACCGTTAGATTAGGGGCGTTTTGGTCAAAACCGTCGGATTTGCGACACGTGGCGCCCCTAGGCTGCAATATTTGACCAGATCAGGTCTGTTTCTCTCTCCTCATCTCCCCCATTCGGCCAGAACAGCCCCCACCAGTAGCTTTCTCCCTCTCTTTCTCTCTTTTTCTCTCTCGGTTTGCCTCGCCGGAGCTCACCGCCGGCCACCGGAGCGCCGCCGCCGGCCACCGTGCCTCGCCGTCGACCACCTCAGTCCCCAGCCTCAGTCTTGCCCCTGTCCGACCCTTTTCTCTCTCTATTTCTCCCTCTTTCTTCCTTTTTTTCTCTCTTTCCCGTTCGGCAAATAGGGCCGCCGGAGCTTCGCCGGAGCTCGGATCGCCGTTCCGTCGCCACCCAGCCGTCCAGCCACGCTGTACGACGCGCGACCGTACCTGTCCGTAC